TGCCACAGTCTCACAAACACCATCACCAGGGTCTCACTCCAGTCTCCCTCAAGTCTTGCTGCTCAGTATGGAAAGTACTAACTTGCTTATCCTTGTCCCACAGCTGTTGATGATTTGCAAGACAGTATCTGAAGTTAAGGGAGCTGCAGCCTAGAGAGGGATGAGGTAATGGCTAAAAAAAAAGCCATCTTTTAAGCTAACACTGCAGATTAACCTACTAAGTTACTGGAGGAATTTAAAAGAGGCAATGATGTTAACAGGAAGTGGGCTTATGCAATAATAATGATCATCATCAAAAAAGACTCTTCCTAACGTCTCTCATTTTCTGTTCAATATTTTACTTTTAACCAATACAGAAATCTCTATTACCCAAATTCTGAACATAGCCAACAACGAAAGTTAGTGGAGAATAACTGGATATGTGAAAAGATTTTAAGTAGTAAATAACAGAGAGGAAAAGGTGAATAGATAAAATCAGAGGAGGTTTTAGAGGCTAGTTAGACAAAGAATCAAGGCTTGAGATTTAGATCCTCTGGATCCAAGTGGTATCCAATGTGAAGCCCCAAAAGACAAACAGATTGACAGCAAAACGCACAAAAAGAAAATTTGAGCTTTATATTTAACACAAACATCTAAATATTTGCATGAAAAGAAAGAATAACTTTGCTACTAAAGTAACAGACACTATTCTAAATTTCTTATTAAAAATCTTTTTTGTTTGAATATATACATTTAATCACAATTGGGCAGAAGAGACACAGAGACATTAGTAATCTGCTTTGGAATTAGAAATTCCGAGGTCAGATTATACACAAAGGCAGTTCTCAATTGGGTTACTAAACTATCAAAATCAGGGTCAACTCCTACAGATTATTTGCATTTTCAATCCCAGATATTTGAATCAGAATTAACAATTAACAAGATGCCCAGGTGATGCTTACAGAGCCCAAGCTATGCTCATAATGCAAATTTTCAAAGGGGTGGGGGAGTGTCAAACTGCAATGAAGCAGCTGGAAACCCTGATAAAAATTAACTACTAGGACTCTCAGAAGCTCTGGTTGTAGGGAACTGTGCTGCTAACCCAAAGGTCACAGATTTCTGGTGGTTCAGATCCACCAGCCGCTCAGCAGGAGAAAAATCTCCTGCAAGATTTACAGCATCATAAACCTGCTGGAGGGTCAGCTATGAGTCGCTTCCAACTCACAGTAATGAAAATGAGGGGGAAAATGAGAGGAGGATGGTTATGGAAGTGGGAAGGGCATCTCCAAGAGGATGACTACCTTTATAAGCTTCTTTTACTGATGGAAAGGTGTCCTACCCCATCCTGGTGCTGTTGGAATAACAAAAATAGTGAACAACTCCAAAAACAATACAAGTCCATGCATATCAGAAATCCCTAGTAAAATCTCAAAAGATACCAATATTCTTATGTACTACACAACCCTACTTTAAATTCATTTTCAGCCCTAAAGTCAGTCACACTAATCAGGTGCAAAATTCTGTTAAATTTTAAACACAGTGCTAGTCAGACAGGCTCAATATCCTTTTGCACTTCTTTGTATCCCTGCCTTCCTCTCCAGGCCCCAATATTTCTAATTATCCTATCCAAGCTACATGCATTAAATGTAAATGATAATTTACAAATTCAGGCACCCCTTGGCACAATAATATACTACTTGGGCCAACTGCAGCGTCTGTCCTTTCCCTTGCTTTCAAAATAATCACATTTACAAGGTAGTTTCTTCCCTTTTCATTCCCCACACAGGCCTGGACAAGAAATCAAGAATACTCTTTACCACAATTTCAATGTCCTTTTCCTTCTTTGAAACTACTAGGCTAGCCTATATATAAAGTTTTGCCTATACTCAATCATAGAGCAGCGAAAACCTGTCATTTCACAAATGAAGCAAACATCTCAAAGGGGAAAAGGAAGCAACAATGTGACCTGAATCCTGGTTCTTTGCCACCAAGACACGGCTCACAACTAACAACAGTAAACATGAAGCTATTAGGTGCTTCATGTGAACAATATAGCACAAAGTCTGGGGGGGGTTATTAATTTTAATGAAAGTTTACAGAGCCTTTGGATTTCCATTCATTCATTGTTGCACTTTTCTCCCTGCCTACCCCTTCCCCCAGTTCACTCTTCTCTTAGAAAAGTAAAATTCTTTCATTGTTATACAGTCTGAAGTTTTTTTTAAACTTTAATAGCTATGCATACAAGAAGCATAATTATGACTGGTATACCTAATTCAGAATTCATCTCTGGTAGCCTAGTGTAGAGAGGTCAACCCAAAGACACTAAGTTCAAATACACCAGAGGCTCTTGCTGGTGGGGGGGGGGGGAGCAAAGGTCTCCTGGGAAGTTTACAGCCTCTGAAAATCCAATGGAATGTTAGCTATGAGTTAGTTTGGAGTCCATAGCAAAGACTTTAGTTGAGCTGAGTCCATAGTTTCACATATATTATGCCTAAAGCTATGTTTTTTAAAAAAACAAACTTGTTGCTAAGTGCTGCTGAGTTGGAACCAGCCCATAACTGACCCTCCAACAGGTTTTCAGAGGCTGTAAATCGCATGCAAGGAGACTGCCTGTCTTTCCCACGTGGAACAGCTGGTGGATTTGAACCAGGTGCTTTTAGGCTGGCAACATAGCTGGAAATCTAACACAACTACGGAAAATGGGGAAGATGAAAGCAAGTTGTGGAAGTCTGGGAAGCCATCTCCTCTGTGAAGATTTAAATTAATGGTAAGCAGAGCGTTTAGGGAGCTCAGGTGGCCTAGAGGCAAGAAGGTTCTTGCTACAATCCCAAAGGTACAAAGTTCAGTTAGAGGCCACCAGCTGCTCTGCTGGGCAAACTCGTCCTGATTAAATGCCTCTGAAAACTCGCAGGAGGGTGAGCTACGACTCTGCGGTAAACAAAATACAACTAACTAGGAGCATTTAGAGGAGCACCGGGGTGCAGCAGTTAAATGCTAGTTGCTAGCTGACAGACCTATAGACTGAACCTACTCATCAAGAGAAAGATGGCAATTGTGTGTAATTCCAAAATTCCAGCCTCAGAAACCTTAGGGTCACTTCCACTCTGTGGGTTGGTTACATGTTGGGCTGTGAATGGAAAGGTCTATGGTTCCTTCCTCAGGAACCTGACGGACGGTCATCATGAGTCAGCTCTGCCCCCACAGCAGTGGATATAGGGTACTAATGAGCCTCTGAGAGTCTGAATTAACTTGATGGCAACTGATGGGTTTAGGTTTCTCGTTGTGGGGTTTATTGTTGTTTTGGGGGGAGAGGTATTTGGCAGAAACATTTTATAATTCTCATCCCTCACTTCTTATTTTATTAGTAAAGACCTCCAGTACAATGCTGAATAGAAGCCATAAAAGATCCCTATGGTATTCTAAATTTACTGCTATCCTAAAGTTTCACTATTAAGTATCAAGTATTTTAAGTTTTTGGTGACTGTATACTTTTTAAGTTCATGGAAATTCCTTTTGCTTCCTAGTTTGGTAAAAAATTTTGAACACCTACGATGCCTCATTCCCTTCTTTTTTCCTTCTTCCTTTCTTACTTGAAATTCCTTCCTGTATTCTCTGAACCACTGAAGTACAGTATTTGCCACCCAGAGTTACTGAGACTTTTGTTAGTACTCTTAAGAATTTTGTTTAAGGCTGCTGTTTTAGTTCCTTTTATAACAAATGGTCCTAAAACCAAAGTTTAAAGGAACTAGGGTGTTTTTATTCCTGTTAATTCCTGCTAATTATGTTGCCCAGCTCTGAGTTTGGCTTCTTAATGACTAAGAATATCAAGGATTTTTAAGAAGTTTTGGTGTTAGCAGCTGGATCCAGATGTTTCTAACTTCTCTCTCCTCTGCTAAACTGGAAAAAAAAAAATAAAGAAAAGGCAAATGGGCAGTATTTAAAAGCAGAAAGGGTAGTTCCAGATGTACAAAGTGAAGAGACAAGAAGAGAAAATCAACACTTCAGAGTCCAAATTATGAATTCTTCCCTTCTTTCAAAACAAAAGCATACACAGTCTTTCCCGAGGGCAGCAGCCAAAAAGTTGCATCATACGAAATACTCCGCGTTTGAGAAACAAGAAAATCAAAGCGAAGCGGAGGGGGGAAAAAGTTGCCGCGGAGTCGACTTCAAGTCACAGCGATCCTCTAGGACAGAGAAGAACTGCCCCAAAGGGTTTCTGAGGCTGTAATCTTTCGGAAAGGGCAGCCACGGCGTTCCCCAGCAGAGGTTGGAGGGTTTGAACCGCTAATCTTTCAGTTAGCAGTCCAGCACCTAACCACTGCGCCACCAGCCAGAGCTCTTATTTTTTTTTTTTTAAGACGGTAATAATACCTAATAAAGGAAAACCGAAATTGGGGCCCTAAGTCTTTTTTTCGCCGTCCAGAAGTATCTTTTTTTTTTTAAGCATATTCAATGCAGCCTTTAAGACTACACTGAAAATTAAAGCTATGGTTTTATACCAGAGAGGAGTGAAAAATGTTCTTTCAAAAGTAGCTGCGAGAAGTTCAGTTTATTATCTCCCGACTGACACGCAGCTCGGGCTGCCGGGCCGGGGCTGGACTTGAGAGGATCACGGGGTGGGGTCGGGTCAGGGTCGGCGCCCCGGTGGCAGGACCGCCCCCCGCCTGGTCAGCCGGGTCCCGCGGTCGAGAGGTGCGTTTCACCCAGCGGCTCTTTCCGAGCCCCCCAGCACCCGAGATGGGCGTCTTCCCAGCCCGCCGCCCCGCGTCTGCTGGCTCTCAGTCCCGGTCCCCACCCCGCTCCCTAGACAGGGACTCTCGGAGGCGGGAAGGCGAGGGTGGCCCCGAGACAATGGGCCGGGGGGCGCAGGGGACAGCGCTTCTGGACCCGGGCGCCGGGCTCCGCGCGAGGGCGCTACTGGGACGCGAGCTCAGGGGCGCTCGGCGCGCGGGACACCGCCCCCCCCACCAGCAGGACGCGCGCCCGGGGCTCAGCCGCCGTGCAGCGGGGCGAGCGCTCACCTTGACGAAGAGCTCGATGGTAGGCTCTTTGTCCTCCTCCTTCAGCCCGTTGAGCGGCATCGACAAAGCCATGGCCAGCTAAGCTGCGCTCCGAGGACGTAGGTCACTGCTATTCTGATACTGTTCCGGCCGCCGGCTCCCGCCGTTCTGCGCCTCCCTCGTGAGTCCTGGCGTCAAGCTCGCCGCGGCCACAGCTCGTCAGCACCGCCCCGGGTCCCGCGCGCGACTCCGAGGGAGCTGCTGCCCGAGCCGCTTCAAACCGCCGGGCGGGGCGCGGAGGGCGGAGTCGCGAGCCAGGGGCGGGGCCGAGCCACAGCATCCTCCGGCTCGCCAACTCTCCGGAGGAAACGAGGCGGCCAGAGCTCGGGGGCGTGGCCTCGGGCGGAGACGGGCAGGCGGCCAAGCCACTGGGACGCCTGTGGGGCCAGCTAGGGAGAGACGTGGCCCAGGGCGAGGGCGTGGCCTCAGTGGGGGCGGTACAAAGCGCATCCTCTGGAGAGTGGTGGGCGGGGCGTCGTGCCACGCCTCCCGAGGGGCGGGAGTTATGTTACCCAGACGACCCGAGCCTGACACCGCCTCCCGCAGCCTCGCGGGCGCACCCTCTGCAGCTGTGGCTGGTGTCTTGCCAGGTGACCTCACGCCTTCCACCGGCCAGGGGAAGCAAGAAGGCGCCTGTTGCCTTACTCCCCCCTCTCGCTTCAGCCCCCGGGACTAGTTTCACATTCCCGCAGCGTCTTCACATTCCCGTAGCGAGCCATCTCCCCACTCTCTGTTAGACCCAGCCGCTTTGAACTAGACAACTTTTCGAAAAGTTATTTTCATCCTCTAAGAGACACCTTTTTAAACTTCCTGCTCTGATCGCAGTTTCCCTTTGACTAAACGTTTCTATTTTGGGAGCTAACATACTACCAACTACTTACAAGGCCCTATTGTGTTCTAGGTTCTGAGCATTAGGAAATAAATCCCTTGCCAGAGCCCAGTCCTGTGTCTTAGCCCCTCTACTGTTGTGTACTGTGGTTGTTGTGTACTGTCAAGTCGGAACCGGTCCATAGATCTCGGTCTAATGGGGTTTCAGAGGCAGTTAAGTGCGGGAGAGAAGATTGCCCATCCCCGTGCTTCTCCTGCGGGGCAGCTGATGGCCTCAAACTGCGTGCCTTCCAGATTTTAGCACAGCTTCTTGAGACTAGGCAACAGAATTCCCCAAATCCCTATATTGTTGTTGTTGTTGTTGTTGTTTTGATGTGCCGTTGAGTCGCCTACGACTCACAGCGACCCTATACACAACAGCTCTGAAGCCTGCTCTGTCCTGAGCCAGTCTCCCTGACTGACACACCTACCCTCCACTGCCCAGTTACTTTATCAATCCATCTCATTCTGAATCTTCCTCTCCTGCGATGTCCCTCCACCCTTCCAAAGCATGATGTCCTTCTCCAAGAACCGATCCCCCCTGGCCACATACCCAAAGTGTGAGACAAAGCTTTAAAATCCTAGCCTCAAAGGAGAAACTTGGTTTCACCCTCTCCAAGTCAGACATGTTTTGTTTTTTTGGCAGTCTATGGTATGTTCAAGACTCTTCTCCAGCACCACAACTAAAAGGCATTGATTCTTCCTCTGTCATCTGTAAGTCATTATCCAGCTCTCTGATGCATAGCAAATAATTGCGAAGATCATGGCCTGGATCAGGTGCACCTTAGTCTCTAGACTGACATCTTTGCTTCTCAGTACTCTAGATAGGTCCCTTACAGCTGACTTTCCCGGTGCAATTCATCTTTTGACTTCCTCACTGCTGGTGCCAAGAAGTGTTGATTGTGGAGCCGAGCAAGCTGTAATTGTTAACAAACTCAATCTCATCCTCATCTATCATGGTGCTGCCAATTGGCCCAGTGGTGAGAATCGTCTTTTTTACATTGAACTTCAATTCATATTGAAGACTACAGTCTTTGACCTTTTACAGCAAGTGCTCCAGGTCCACCTTGGTTTCAGCAAGCAAGATTGTGTCATCTGCATAATATAGGTTGTTGATTAGTCTTCCTCCAATCATGATGCCACATTCCTCCTCATAAAGTCCAGCCTCTTTTATCTGCTTTCAGTAAAATGCTTGCTGATAGATAATTGTTCTAAAACTAAGCATCCAGATTAAGAAAGACTAGGAAGAATTGACCATCCACTTCCAAAATATAAGAGGTCTTCAAGAACCCTATGTACAATGCAGCTCTTATACTAGAGGCTCTGAAAGACTCTCAAGCAAATGTCCTTTCCATTCCCCACGCAACTTGACTTTGCCTCAGAACCTTCTGGATACTATATTCTGAGCTGCTTTACCAAATTCCTTGGGAAAGGGAGGAATTCACATTTTAAAGCTCCGGGGTAATTCTGTAGTGAAACTCCATTGAATATGAAATCCCTGAGAGCAGGGATTTATGATAAACTCTGCTGTTGACAGCTGAATGTCACAGCCCTCTTTAAAGTTACTTGCCCTCTCTATGGCTTGTGGCAATGTGACTCTAATACCCTTCCACTCCCCAGGTTAGGTTAAAATGCAAATCCTAGAGACCAGACTTTGGAGATTTGCCTCTATACCCATTTATGCACAGCACTTCTCAGAATGTGTGAACAAGGTTACAATGAAACTTACAACTCTTTCCTCTTCCAAGGCATAGTGCAGTTTTATTTCCATGTAGTAACTGTTAGAAATGTGTATCCTAGAGATTAGCAGGGCAGGCATGCTCCTTAAACATCAGAGTGTTTAAATTCTGACACAAAAAGTCCTTAACAATTAGAAGCCTCACTTTCACTATCTACAAAGTTGTTATTCTTAAAAGCCCTCTGGTAGAGTACCACTCATGATAACCCTATCAATGAGGAATTGGAATACTGTCCTATTTTGCGTTATTCTCACTATCTCTGACATACTTGAGTCCATTGCTACAATGACTGTGTCAGTCTATCTTACTGAGGGTCTTCCTCTCATTCATTGACCCTCTACCTTTCCATGCATGATGTCCCTGTCACAGGAATAATCTCTCCTAACAACGTGCCCAAAGTATGTGAGACAAAGCTTCACCATCCTTGCCTCTAAAGAACATTCTGGTTGTGCTTCCTCCAAGAGAGATGTGTTTGTTCTTTTGGAAATTCATGGTATATTTAGTACCTTCCTCCAACACCACAACTCAAAGACATCAATTCTTCTGTTGTCATTCTTATTCATTTTCCAGCTCACAGATGTAAGTGATTGAAAAGGCCATAGCCTGCATCAGGTACACCTTAGTCTTTAAACTGACATCATTGCTTCTTAGACCTCTAGAGAGGTCCCTAACTGCAGACTTTCCCAATATAATAAGTCTTCTGATTTCTTAACCACTGGTACCAAAGTTTATGCATCCAAGCAAGACATACTAATTGACAACTTCAGTCTTTTCTCTATCATAATGTTGCCCATTAGCCCAGTGGTAAGAAATTTTGTTTTCTTGATGTTGAGATGTAATTCGTATTAAAGGATGTAGTCTTTTTTTTTTTTTACAATTTAAGGAATTTTTATTAAAGCAAGAATTTTATAATCCAAATTATATTTCCTTGCTCAGTTCTCAATTCTGTTACCTAAAACAGAACTGACATTCTGAGCTATTCCACAGTAAAGAATGACGAAATTAAAGCAAGGAATGCTTTAAATGTTTGTTCTTTGCTGAAAATTCTTTTTCCCAGGGTCTATAAAACATTAATTTGGTTTTTTATTTTACTATTTTTCCTCTTTTTTTTTTTGTTTTTAAATGAGTAAGTAATCTAGGACTAGCACGTGCTAGCCCTGGCATTTGCTCGGTACATAAGGTTCAAAGTTTCCTTTTTTTTTTTTTTTAACTTTGCACTGTTTTTTTTCCACAACATTTAAGTTTTTCGATGTTTAGTTCTTTTTCTTCGGTGAAGCATGAGTTTTCTTTCATGGTCCCAGATCATTTTAAACAGTTGGAAGACCAGTGGCACTGTTAACTGCTTTCTGGGCAGCCTCTTTAGCTTGGCTTTAGTCTTTTGATCTTCTGCAGCAAGCACTTAAATTCCTCTCTACTCTCAGCAAGCAAAGTTGTGTTATTTGCAATGCAAGTTATTGATGAGTCTTCCTCTGATCCTGATGCCAATATTCTGCAACATAAAATCTAGCTTCACAAACTATTTGCCCAGCATACAGATTGAATAGGTATGGGAAAAGGACACAAGCCTGGTGCGCACCTTTCTTTATTTTAAACCCTGCAGTGTTCCTTTGCTCTGTTCTCACAACAGCTTTTTGGTCTAGGAATAGGTTTTGTAAGAGCCCTGTTAAATGTTCTAGGATTCCCATTCTTCTCAATGTTAGCCGTAATTTGTTGTGACCCATACAGTCAAATGCCTTTGCTTAGTCAATAATGCACAGATCCTTCTTCTGGTTTTATTTACTTTGAGCCAAGATCCATCTAACATCAACAATTATCTCCCTGATGGCATAGTATTTTCCAAACCCAGCTTGTACTTCTAACAATTCTCACCTATGTACTGTTCTAACAGTTTTTGCATAATCTTCAGCAATATTTTTCTTTTATGCAATATTAGTGATATTATTCAATAATTTCCACATTCAGTTGGATCACCTCTTTTGGTAATGGAAACAAAAATGGATCTCTTTCACTCAGTTGGCCAGGTAGCTGTCCTCCAAATTTTCTGGCACGGACTGGTGAGCACATTCAGAGATGCATCTGTTAGTTGAAACATATCAGTTCTTATCATATCAATTCCTGGGGCCTTATTTTTTGCCAGTGTTTTCAATGCAGCTTTCCACACAGTACTCTAAGAAGCCATGTCTACAAGTAGGTGAGACTAATTACTAGAACTTGCCTGACGGTGTGAACCCAATAGTTGCTGTTCTCTCTGCATTATCCTATCTACTATCCCTCTCTATTCACCCTTGGACTCCAAAATGGCATCATATTCAACTTGCTCAGTGACCAGCTTGTTTACTGAGAAGAAATAAAGTCCACCAGACTGTGCCTTAGAAATATGAACCCAAAGCAAACTGAACTGGCTGGACTCTGAGACCCAGTGTTAATTTTTCACTAAATCATTAACTGAACCAATGCCCCTCAGGTTCATCCCCTATCCAAATGAAAAGAAACAAAAATAGAAGCCAGTTCAGATCTGATCCAAGCCCAAAAAATGATCAAATGACACTTCAAAGAAAGCCCC